TCTCTATTATTAAAATTCTAAAAATTATTATCAAAATCGTGATTATTTCAGCTATTATTTTCTTATTATAGGCACCGATATTCATAGAACTTAAAACGATTATTTAGTTACTTATTTTATAGCATCATTTTACTTATAATTATTGACACGTAACGCAAGCAATAGTGGGTGCGTTATTAAAATAGATTAATCAACAGTATCTTTTTATAGCCAACTGTCACTTATTATATATATAAGCTATATTATTGCCAACTAAGACTGTTTTTAGACCTACATAGCAGACTGGGTCCTGTAGCCTTGCTTGGCAACCAGTCTAGGAGAATGAAAACATTGGATTCAAACCAGCAGGAAGATGGTTGATCTCTATCAAGCTGTTTTGTCTGAGAAGTACCACTGCAGTGTGCGTGGTGCTCCTTCGAACCTACTGGGTTACGGGACTCGTGATCATTAACCTGAAGTAGCGAAGTAATCGTTCTAAGTACGTGGTAAATCGAAATAAGTGCTGTGTAATTTATTGAGTTTTTTCTTCTTCTTTTTTTTTTATTTTTACATAGTTTAACATCAAAATCGTTGTTGAAGCAAAAAGACAAAATTCAACAGATTATCCCCCTAATGTCTCGAAATAGTCAATTCAAAGTACAACATGAAGAGATTTATTTCTCGGTATTCGCTGGAGTAAAACGGACGTGTAATGAATTTATGCTGTTCGAACCGACGAATCAATATGTTTCTGACTTTGGCCATGGGTACCATTCCAAAGTTTACAACAAATATTTAGAAAAAAAAATATATTTTATAATTTTCCTTAAAGTATTTAAGAGAAAATTTGATTTGGGGGTGGGGATTAACAACCTTATTCCCACTAAAATTAGACTGACTCCAGGGAGGTCTCGAAAGCGACATAATTTTCTGTTTACACTTCATTGTAACTTTATTCTATTTCCTCGGTCTTCATTTAATCAAATTTAATGTGTTGCTAAAAATGTTTTTGTTTATGCTTAAGGGTATTGGACCACACAACTCATATATATATATATATATGTGTGTGTGTGTGTGTGTGTGTGTGTGTGTGTGTGTGTGATAAAATATAATTTTACAATATGCCATACTTATAGGCAAAAGTGCTCAATATCCGAGATACTGTGTATGTAATTGTAAAATTGGACACCGAAGTCAACACCAAGCGACAACAATCTGTTTCATGCTTAAACGCAGTCTTCATGGCCGGAAGATTGCGTTCAACCATGGAACAGACTGTCGCTGCTTGGTGCTAATCTCAGTGTCTTCTTGTTAGACAGCAATGAAGGCATCGAGTAAAAAAAAAAGAAAAAATATCCGTTTATCGTGACTGGCGGTAGTTCAGAGTCTTATTGGCGGTGATGGGATGTAGTTTTTAGAGGCATTGAACTAGCCAGTCCCCCCCCCGACTGAGAAGTTAGTGCTAGATCGGAAGAGAGGTCAGCTGCCAATCTCTTATCATCAAGACTTTTAGAATTGCACCAGTATATCGTCGTATCATCGGCATAGACGTTTACAATCATTTTTATTTATTTTTTTTTTTTACAATAAGGTTCCCACTATAAAAGGCCCAGGAGCCACTCGAGATAGAGGGTTACGATGAGGGTTAGTTCATATAGATAGAAGGGGGAAAATAACTGTTGACTCTAGACTTGAACAGGTTAAGATTAAAATGATCGGAGAAACATCCACTAAGGATTCTGTTCCATAAGGTAGTGGTTCGCGGGAAGAAGCTGTTTGAGTGGAACTTACTTCTCACCGATGAAATACGGATGGAATGTGGGTGGTTTGCTACTATGTAAGTGGCCTAACGGGTCCTAACCGTGGGGGTTAGACCTGGTGGAACCAAGGGATGCGGTTCGTTCGAACACTTTCCATAGTAGTAGTAACAGCGCAATGGGAAACTCGCCACATCGCGTCTGTGAGAGAGAGGTTAGAGCCTGGAAAATAATTCTCCCACAAGGACTCGGAAACACCTTTGAACTCTATCAAGACTCAAAAGTGAGGTCTAGACAGCTCCTGCCTAAATATGGCAACAGTACTCCATTTTCGGCCTGATTTACAGTTAGAGGATGGCATGTGGAGTCGGGTACTTACGTTACAGGGAGCCGATCATTTTACCCTCATCTTTAACGATGGATCGTATACAGGAATTCCACTTGAGGTCGGAGTTTTCTCAAGGGGATATCTGTTTATCGTAACTGGCGCTAGTTCAGAGTCTTATTGGTGGTGATAAGATGTAGTTTTTAGAGGCATTGAACCAGCCAGTTTTCCCACTACTGAGAAGTTAGTGCTAGATCAGAAGAGAGGTCAGCTGCCAATCTCTGATCGCCAAGACTTTTAGAATTGCACCAGTATATCGTCGTATCATCGGTATAGACGTTTACATATGCCCGGAGTATATTCTTAGGTAGATCATTTATGTAAATCAGAAAGAAGGTTGGTCCGAGAAGTGATCCCTAGGAGATGCCTGCATTGACCGCCAAGCCCTCGGAGGACTGGCCCTTAATAACTACCTTTAGGGTCTACCTGTTAGGAAGATATTTTATAATAGAGAAAACCCTTCCAGTGATTCCATAGCTGAAGAGCTTGTGAAGCAAAACTTCGTGCCACACATTGTCGGAAGCCTTGGAGATATCTAAGGCTATGGTCCTTGCGATGTGTGTCGTCAAGGACATTACTAATTCCGTGAGTAATGGTATTTAGGACGTCAACAGTGGATCGGGCTGATCGAAACCCATACTTCTCGTCGCACAATATGTTATTCCTATCCAGGTGCTCAACGACCTTCTTGCTGATTAAGGCCTCAAAAGGTTTACTGATAATTATATATATATATATATATATCCTAGTGCACCTGTGCCGTTAAAATTGACAGCAAGAAGGAATGTATTATAAGTAATATGCATTATATTGTAAGTAATTTTCGTTTGATCCAAGTTTTGTAATTTAAAATGGTTCATCGTTAACGTTAATAATTGAACAGTGTACAATTTATACATACCTAAGGAAAGATATCCGTATATTATCCTCATAAATGTTACATATTTACAACCAAAATCATGTTTACAGCAGAAGTTCCCAAAATACAATATGTTTTGTGTAAACTTTGCAAGGTCTGAGTAATCCTTGACAGTCCGTAGATTCAATCTGTAATTTCAGAGTTTGCTTATTTCTCGTCCTACTAAGAGCAACTTGCCATCAGATATCTTTTAATTATAATTTTTAAAGTTTAAAATGGATTTCTAAAAATGAACAAAGTGCTCTTGAGATATATGTGGCGTATTATATTTATCGTAACAATGTTAGGAAAATTAATGACGAAACGGAAAAACATAATTGCGTGAAGTTCAGGGGACTAAGGTGACGTTTCTGCTGATGTAACTATGGATAATTGCAGCTCAAACCAGACATTAGGTTGGTTCCCAAGGTGCAATCAAAGGCTTGTGGCTTAAAGAATAACTCTTTGTGCAGATCGTTACCCACGAAATAAAACCATGAGGCAGTTGTTGTAATAAGCAAATTTTATTCGGTTGTCACCTTCTGCCGTAGAGGCGAGGCGTATTGAGGGAGGGTGTACAATCTAACAGGCGTGACTTCCTTTTCGTGTCCCGTCGAACTGTCTGCCTTTTTGGCTTTTTGCTTGACAGAGGCCACTCTCTTATAGATTATAGCATTCTTTGTCCTGTCAGCTCTGTCTAAAAAAAAAAGTAATTCATTAAATCCATTGATGCTCTTTGTCAGAGTCGTTTGAAGTTCACTTGGGAAGTCCACTTCACTTAGCTGACCTTTTTTTTATCACGATGATTAGTCAAAAACAATTTTTATAAAACCTTTCAGATGTTTTCCTTTAACAACATATCGGCTGCCACTGATACCGCTACATCTACACATGCGCATACAGGAGAAAGGGAAATATAAAAACGTAAACGTTAATTATTATTATACTCTATAGGAAACGCGGAAAAAGGTTGGGACGTTAAAATTATAAAATCTTATTTTTTTTTAATTTTAGATCTATCTAGGTATATCAGTCAGTTATGTGCCATGCGTGATACACGCTTAGGCGATCATGTATCTTTCGATACATGACTGACGAGGCAGATTTTTCCCGCAGTAGGTTGGCATTTCCTTCTGAAGTAGACCAGTGGCCATCCATGGCTACAGAACCCAGTCTGTCCTACTATTTGCCCATAGCCGGGGGAAGAAGAGAATTCATACAAGAATATAATTAAAATTCTTAAAGTGTTTAACTATTTAGTCAGTTATGTGCCATGCGAGATACACGCTTAGGCGATCATGTATCTTTCGATACATGACTGACGAGGCAGATTTTTCCCGCAGTAGGTTGCCATTTCTTTCTGTGGTAGACCAGTTACCATCCAAGGCTATAGAACCTGGCCTGTTCTGCTATTTACCCATAGCTGGGTGGGGGAGAAGAGGATTCATACCGTCCCCAAGAGTATTAGCACGTAAGTAAATCGATTCGACTGGATTCGACTAGAATTCGAACTCGGCTCTCCGATTACTCAGTCCGAGCCGCTATCCATTACTCCACAGCTATAATTGTTTGTGTTTTACACTTTTCATCTTAAATATTCCACATTGGCGTAATAGAAGACTTGTCCCGAAAGATATATATAATCCAATATAAACCAATGTTGATAAAAAAAAATGCCTTTAAAACATATAAGAATATTTGTCTCAGATACCGGGCGTCGCTGATTGCATTCATTGTAAAACGGTGTAGAACTGGATTTAAAACGATTTACAGACAATATCTGTCTATATCGGACTTTATAGAAACTCTGTCTGTAATATTGATCACTTACAAAACAAAATGTTAACTTGTATCTCCTGTCATTTAATATTATATATGTATAACGCAGTACTCGATTGGCAGATAGGTCTCATAATTTCATATTTGAAATAGCTGGTTGGAATCGTAAATTCAGTGCTAATATTTTCTTCTCGGCTTACAGTTGAAAAGCCGGTTCTCGACTGATCACCGAAATTAAGCAACGTCGAGCCTGGTCGCTAATTAGATGGGTGAACGCTTGGGAATATCAGGTGCTGGATGTACGAGTGATGTAATAGATAACGGCTCGAAATGGTGATTTTCTAAGCGTAGCCTAGATGTGGCACAAGGCCAAAAGTATGGGGCACCCAGTGATGATCGAAATCACTACTCAGTCGTAATTGTTCTAGCAAGGCAAGCTTGCTAATCAATACACCTCGTCGAGGAGCCCAAAACGGCTCGGAAGAAGAAATCGGAGAGCCGAGTTCCAATTCTGGTCGGATTCGTTATAGTCACTTACGCGCGACTAATCAGAACAAGGACAGTCTACTCGCGTAGATTAAATAAAGTGTTCAGTTTGAAATTTCCTGAAGGCTACTCGGACCGACAAACTCATGAAGAAGTCCGTAGAGCACAAAGGTTGTGATGATAAAGACAAAGTTGATTAAAATAGTTCCAATTTATAATCTCTGAATTCGAGGTCTTACGGTCATATTACATTGAAACACCGATTCTCGTGCGATCACTGTACGATCAGTTAAAGTTAAGCAACATCGAGCTTAGTCAGTACTTAGATAGGTAACCGCTTGAGAATACTAAGCGCTGTAAGTTTGGATGTGCTGCTGGTGTATAATGGTGGATAACGACTCAAAATTGGAAATCGGAGTGCAAAATTCAAATTCCGTCGGGTTTATTGTATTTAGTTACGCGCAAATACGCTTGGCAAAGGTATGAACCCGTCTTTTCTCCCCCAGCCATGGGTAAATTAGTAATTGGAAATAGGAAAGAAGAGATCTATTTCAAGTTGTGTTTATTGTATTTACTTACGCGCAAATATGCTTGGCAAAGGTATGAACCCATCTTTTCTCCCCCAGCTATGGGTAAATTAGTAATTGGAAATAGGAGAGAAGAGATCTATTTCAAGTCGTGTTTATTGTATTTACTTACGCGCAAATATGCTTGGCAAAGGTATGAACCCATCTTTTCTCCCCTAGCTATGGGTAAATTAGTAATTGGAAATAGGAGAGAAGAGATCTATTTCAAGTCGTGTTTATTGTATTTACTTACGCGCAAATACGCTTGGGAAAGGTACGAACCCATTTTTCTCCCCCAGCTATGGGTAAATTAGTAATTGGAAATCGAAGAGAAGAGATCTATTTCAAGTCGTGTTTATTGTATTTACTTACGCGCAAATACGCTTGGCAAAGGTATGAACCCATCTTTTCTCCCCCAGCTATGGGTAAATTAGTAATTAGAAATCGAAGAGATCTATTTCAAGTTGTGTTTATTGTATTTACTTACGCGCAAATATGCTTGCAAAGGTATGAACCCATCTCTTCTCCCCGAGCTATGGGTAAATTAGTAATTGGAAATCCGAGAGAAGAGATTCATTTCTGGTCGGGTTCATTGTATTTACTTACGTGCAAATACGGTTAGAAAAGATATGAAAAAACTCCTCGCTCCTACTGTAGGTTAATTAGTAAGGCATGTATCAGTTATTACCTCCAAAAATCATTACAATCTCAAAACTGTTATTTAAACCTGCAAAAGGGTAATAAAAAAAAAAAAAAAAAAAACTTAATTAATCAATCTCGAATATTTCTCGTGTTGATATAAAGTTAAAGCAAATATCAAATTGCATTTAAATCAAATATGAATTTAATTTTTCAGACGCAGGAAATCGTAGACACGAAATTTAAAGCTTTAAACTGATCAGAATTAAATCGATCACCAAGTGATATTTGTGAACCTACTGCCACTGAATAGAGTCACCAGTTTGTGACGATAAACTACACCTGGCAGCAAGGCCTCTGATTGGGAGATTGGAGGTTTTGAGGAGCTGGAACCACATCCTAATTGCTGTTGTCCCTAGGTCCACCCTGACCCGAGGTAGTAGCACCGGTTAGGGTCTCGGCTATGTACAATCATTTAACCGCCAAACTGGGATGAAAACATTATGAAAGTATAAAAATAAATTTTTTATAGTAAAATTACCAGCAATGCATATTTATAGCAAAATGACCAGCAATACAATTTATAGTATTATTATCAACATTACATTTTATCTGTAGTTGATGGGATGCAATTACGTTCAAAATATATTTAGTTGAAGCCATAAAATTGTGTTCAAAATGTTTAGATTTCAGCATTAAATTAACAATTACGTTTGCTATGCCGCTAAAAAAAATCAACCAAAATGAAATAGCACTTTCAGGAAATTAATCCATATATCCTACTATTTCTTAAAAAAATCAAACTGTATTCCAAAATATAACTTCAACAAAACTACAGCATAAAACATATATCATCGTCTCTAGTAATTATCTACACTCATATATATATATATATATATATATATATATATATATATATATATATATGAACTAAGATGACTATCATTTACCACGTGTCCATTTGTGAAAGCAGTATAATATATATATAATATTTTTGTTAATTCGAAGCTGCCAAGAAAATTAAATTTACGCATTAAATGATCATAAGGTGTTGATATGTCTTTAAACAAACAGGCAATCGAGTCACTGCGAAATAGCACCAAATTGAAGTTTTTTCTTAAAGAAGAAAAGACAAGAATACTGAGCTGTGACGTGGCATCTGTCCTTCTTCACGGCAGCGAATGTTGAACGACTTCCTCAAAGATGAGGAAGAGACTCAAGGCGACAGAGATGTGGTTCTACAGAAGGATTCTGAGGATACCGAGCGTGTGTGCAACGATGAGGTCTTAGAGAGGATGCAAACAAGGAAGAGGCTTATACTTAACATCGGGAAGAGGCAGATGGGGTTCCTGGGGAACATAATGAGGAAGGAGGGCCTGGAGACTCACGGGTCGAATAGAGGGAAAGAGAGACAAGGGATAACAACGCATGACATATCTAGCGGCCTTAGGCAAATGAATGACAATGTCGTCTGGGGGAGGAAGCAGAGGGAAGGAACTTGTTGAGAGCTGCAAGGGATAGGTTGAAGTGGTGAGCCATGATCGCTTACGTCCTGAAAGAGCAAGGCACATAGAAAGAAAGAATCTCATTGCATATTCTCAGATTGGTAGAAAGGCAGTTAAATTAATATCTCAAACTTCTCAATTATTTTATGAGCGTCAACGAAGACACAGACATAAGCAAAAGGTTGATAAGCCGTAAAAAATATAAATCAATCAATCAACCCAGAAATTGAGATGAAATTTTTCAATATATATTGTTTTTAATATTTGAAAGTTTGATTCGATTTTTAAAAATTCTTATTTACAAAGTATTTTTTTTTTATCCTTATTTAAATTTTTTTTTTCTCTTTTTACATCCCATATGTCTACGATATAACTTACTAAATAAAATTAAAAAGTTTCTAAAAACAAAATATTATTTCACTTTATTTTGAAGTTATAATATTTCCGGCTTGGGGAAGAATTACGACGTCCATTTTTTTTTTTTTTTTTTTTTTTCGCAAAAATTATATTTCTCATTGGAATTTTCGTTTAAAATATGGAAAATTTAGTCAGAATCAAGCAGTATTTTACGAAGCGGTGTTGGAAATATTTACATTAAACATTAACGCTATTTTCCCCCTTTTTATAAAGAAAATCTTTAATATATGAGTTCATTCATAATACATGAAGAACAAATTTTTATTCAATTTAAATAATTAGTTAGATATTTCATAGATTTTTAAAATACTGTTGTAACCGGCGTTCAAGTAATATTTCTATTGATTTTTCAAAATTATGTTTTTTTAACAACAGTAAAATATTTTTCAGACAGAAATATTCAGGTTTCTATATCTTTAAAAAAATAATTTTTATATCCAATTTTTTTTTCTTCTTCTTGAAAGCTGAATTAACTTTTTTAACCCATTTTTCTGTCATAGGTGCCATTTTCAAAATGTCCGTGAGAATAGATCATTTATGTCGTGTTCAATGTAATTAAAATGTATTTTGGGTCGTTTCAAAGTCGTCCTCTTACTTAAAAATTTTACACCATAAAAAATATTAAATGAAAGCATATTATAAATAAAACAATTCTTTTTCTTTTATATATATACATAAATTCAGTCTTTTTATCCACATCACCTCTTACATCATATATATATATATATATATATATATATATATATATATATATAGATGATGATGATGATGATGATGATGATAATGATGATGATGATGGAATCTCCCATCGTTTTCGACGTATGATTGTCTTTCAGTTCAGTTTTTAATCCTGTACCAGTCCCCGTCGCATTAACTCTCTCGGGCGGAATAGCAAAGGAGGAACACAGAACTGAACTGCAGGCTACCCACACAAAAGATTTGTTTAGAGTGGTCAAGGCTTATGTAGAACCAGCCACACTTATTGGAAGTGCTGATAACAAGGAGTTGGTGCAAATATTTGCCACGAACGTAATGGACAACACCCCCTCGGGTTTTATTATCGCGGAGTTATACCTCTCCGGTACTACTCTTGCACAGAAGAGTGCAGCGCCTTTCGATGGTAATTTCACGTGATTTAGCCCGCCTGCCGAAGCGATTTACAGGGTTTGGTGGGTGGAGATTTAGCGGATGGGTGAAGACCAGTGTTGACCGTCCATTTTAATAATAAGTGCAGCAGCCGAGTAACAAATGTACTACGACTACCCACTGCCACCTACACGCAGAGAACACACACTGGATGTAGGAGTAAACAGGTCGTCATCGGCTGCAAAGTGTAAATTATTATAATGTATTAGAGAAATTTTTATAATTATTATTATTATTATTATTATTATATTATTATTATTATTATTGTTGTTGTTGTTGTTTAAAAAATATTTGAAGGATAAATAATAAAACAAATTGACTAGTAGTAAAAACGACACAATAACGTTGTAACTGGTTTTATAACGCGTTTTCAATAAAACTGAAATTACGTTACATCGTAATTAACGTAATTTCAATTTTAATAATGTTAATTTTTAATAATAGTCATGTTAATTACATCGCACCATATCTATCTATCTATCTATATATCTAACTAACTAACTATATATATATATATATATATATATATATGTGTGTGT